GCCTCTCCAGGCAAGCATAGAGTGCTCTTCCCTTTCTGCTGGGCTCCTGGAACAAGGCCCACAGGCTATTTACATAAATATGTTTGTAACAGACATGAAAATAGAGACTTTTTTTGGTCTTATTAAAATGTTCAAGTTGGAACTCGCCTGTTGTTTGTGGATATCACGATTCTGTTAAATAAAACAGTGACTAATTTATGGGATAAAACACAAGTTCAACAAATTAAAACCATTATTGGAGCTTCACAGGCCCTGGTGGGCTGCGCTGCCTCCCGTGGGGCCTGAGGGGAGGCAGGGAGCCAAGCCCCAAGCTCAGCTGGCAATAGGCTGGTGGGTGGTGTGGCCACGGGGCTCTTTCTGGGCACAGCACAGTGGAGGCAGATTTTGAGGCAGACTCATGGGGCCCAGGGGAGGGGCACACTAATTAGGCAGTTCACTAATCTTGACTGCAACCCCCCCCCAAAAAAAAAAAAAAACATCCCTTCATCTCCTGTCCCTGGACTTTCTGGGCCTGGACAGACCTTGGCAGACCATACCAAAGGATGACGGAAGCAGCCTGCTAGCCACCTTCAGACAGTGCCCAGGGAAAGGCACCAGGTGTCCCTTCAGAGAATGAGTTGCTGGCCCTGAAGGGCCAAGAAGGGCACACACCCCTGTATCGGGTACCTGAGCCCCCTTAGATGGGGTTCTAACCCTACCCCTAGAGCCAGGCGGGGAGCTAGCTGCTGTGGGTAGCACTCCAGCCCAGGGCCCAGGGCCCATGAGGTTCCCTGTGGCCTGCTGGATTTGGTACAAATGCTGTAAAACATGTTTTGCTCTGGGGTTTAATTAGCTGTGGTAGTGTGTGACGCCTCAACACCCAAACTGGGGCAAATTCAAGAGTTTTGTAACCTCGAGGAATGAGTTAGAAACAGCTGTGCAGGCTTGCAGCTGGTCTCAGTGGACCGCCTCCTTCCCAGACAGGGCTGGCCAGGGTGCCCAGGCAATGGGGCCAGTTGCTAGTGTGGGCCTTGCCCCCGGCTCTGGGGGATACCCAGCACTAAGACAGTGTCCTCCCTGGGCAGGGTTTCCAGGCCATTGGGCAACACAGGTGTCCATTCTCTGTCATGAGAGGTGATCCCAGCTCTGCAGGTGGCTTTGGCCCAGAGCCAGGACACAGGGACGAACATTTTGCTGCCTAAGGACAGGTCAGGTCTCCAAGAAGCAAGACCCCCCCCCCCCCCCCGAGTACTGGGGACCTTGCAGAAACAGAGAAGGCCACCTGTGCCACCCTTTCTGGCAAGAGCTATCCCAACCTGGGGGCAAGCTGACAGAAAGTGACTTCCAGGATGTGGAGAGCTGCTTCTTGGCCTCTGGAATCATGTCACTAAGGGAGACCCTGCCCATTCCCCACCAAGGAATGTTACCCGGCCCTGCCTGCCTCAAAACGTCCAACCCTTAGCTCCGCCTGAGCCTCTGGAGGCCAACTGCTGTGCCCTGTGTCTATACAGGTCCCTGGCGATGGCAGTGCCCTGGAGATGATGCCAGAGTTGGGGTGATGGGCTAGCCAGACATCAAACTGCACACACACATCCAAGTTACCATAGCTTTATTTCGAGTCCATGGAAACCACAGTGGGGGTGGGGGTGGGGCTGGGGGGACGGCTCGGTTGGTAAAGCCCTGCAAGTACAAAGACCCAAGTTCAATTCCTAGAGCCCTTGTAAAAACGCTAGCAGGGTGGCACACACCTACAGTGTCTGCGTTGGGATGGAGAGACTGGCGGATCCCTAGGGCTCATGGCCAGTCAAGCCTGACCAAGTGAGCTGCAGGCTAATGAGAGGTGTCTCAAAGGAGGTGGACAGTATTCCTAAGGAAGACACTCCTGGCCAGATGGCCTCTATGTGCACATTCGTTCACGTGTGTGCGCGCGCACACACACCAAAGCAGGCTAGCCAGATGCAGCCGTAGCTCACAATCCACCGGCCACGGCAAAGGGAGTGGCCGCGTGCCAGCGTGCCATGCTGCCGTGCGGGGGGGTTTGGACACTGGTGTGTTATGGGACTTTCCCACTCAACTTTTCAACTTAGGGTGGGCTTGTTGACTGTACCGTAAGGAGGAGCAGTTGCCTCTACAGCCACGACCCTACTGTTTGTTCACTTACTTGGGTCTCCTTTATTCTTGGAGGATCTCTCCAGAGCCTGGAACTCCTGGGCTCCTCACTGCTGCAGCCTCCCTCCCGGGTAGCTGGGACTGGAGGCACAAGCTACTGGACACAACATCCCTGTTCCTTTAAAGTCTTCCAGGCCTCGCTGTGGAGCAAGGAAAGACTCCAGGCGTCTCCTTATAAAGCTTCCACAAACCCGCCCTCTTCTGGGAGAACACAGCCTTCAAAGCCCTCGGGGAAAGTGAACTGGAAGACTTGTTCATCTTTCAGGTAGTTGCCCAAAAGGCAGGCTGAACTCGCAGACTGGTTTGGATGAGGAGCCATGGGGTTCTGACCTGAGATGGGACTGTGCAGGCTGGGGTGTGGAAACGGCAGGCCCCCGTGGCCATATGCAATGTGTGCCATGGCATGGGCATGCCACTTGTGTAGAGACCCTGAGGTATCAGCTAAGGTGCTTCCCTTAGCCACTTGGCCAGACAGGGTGGGTCTGGATGAGAAAGACCCGTGCCAGGCCAGGAGCAGGTTGAGAAGAGTAGCCAGGCTCCACCTGCCAGAAGTCCGGGAGGCCTGGGCTTCCTGCCCGGGGAGGAGTCCACAGGAGCGGGGCCTCCCTCTGCCTTCTCCTCTGCTGTCCCACACAAGTGCTTAGACAGGAGAGAGCAGCCCTGAATTCAGTGTGCTCCTGAGGATGACTACAGCAAGCCCCTCCTTCCCTGGGCAGGGAGAGGCAGCACGGTCCTCAGAGCAGAGGCCTGGCCAAGACCCCCAAGGGCCAGTGTCTTCTCAAGCCTGGATGGGTCCCAGAGAAAGTAGTGGGTATGAGAGCCCCAAAGGACAATCACAGACCATTTTCCTATCAATGCCCAAGGCACTCAGAACGAGGAGGAGGGTTGTATTATTAAAAACAGTGAGTGAATGATAGAGAATCCTGTAAACACAAGCCACAACTCAGTCGCCCAGGTAGAGGATCCGTCTGTTCCCTCCCAAGTCACAAGCTTTCCTAACTTAGGTATTTATATGCATACACTTCAGAGAAGCCCAATATTTTGGGGTACAAACTTGGTAGTCCCCGGGTGCTCCTTTCCCCACAGCAGTGCCTGGGGTGCCCGAGGCAAACCCTCCCCACGCCAGCCCCCTTCCTCCCGGGGTGGCTCCCTCCACCCGTCTGTCCTTTCTATCCTGCCCAAGGTAGTTCCAGTGAGTCACCCGGCACTGGGGGAGGCCAGAGTCTGAGGGGAGCTCAGGCAGGGGGGTCAAGACAGCTGGGCACGGCCTCCAAGCACTGGGGTTCTTCCTCTCCCAAACGACACTTTATAAAAAGACGTCGTAATTGAGTTTAATAATGTTCTGCCTTCCAGAGAGGGCCTGACGGGCGCTGCCTGCTGCTCACTTCTGCCCCATTCCAAATATTTTTACCTTATTTGGATGAAATGCATTATTTTTCTAATGAAAGGCTTTTTTTTCGAAGGGCTGTTTCCCCCGTCCAGCAGCCGCCTTTATTAGGCAGCCCTCACGCAGTTTTGGGGAGGGGCTTTTCTCTCCCTGAAGTCACGCCAGACTCTCTGTCCTCAAAAGCTGAAGCCAGGTTTCTCTCCCTTCTCTTCTGAGCTTGAGCCCAGGCCCCTCGGACCTGGTAACGCCCCCAGGTGGGGAAAACGGGGTGGTGAGGCACAGAGGATGCTCAGGGCCAGCTCTCACATTCAAAGCAAGCACAACACTGCAGGGTGAGAGAGGCTGCCATGGCCAGCACTTTGCACTCGCCGCCCCAGACCCCACTGCGGCTTCATTTCTGTCCCAGGGCATCTGCCTTCTAGTCTTTTCTGGGGGGACCTCAGAAGTTACAAACAGTAACAAATGGACCAAAAGGGGTTGTGACCACCCGGCAACCATGTTCCCAGGATCCAGGTGTCCCACCCACCAGATGGCCCAAGTCTACCCACCTGCCTCCTGACACCGGGACTCCTTAGGGTTCCTGGGAGAGAGAGCAAGGTCCCCCAGCCATGTAGGCTAGTTGTCCCCAGGAATGAGGAATCATGGCTTCCTCAAGGACATGAGGAAAAGAATGCGGGCACGGGCGCTCTCCAGGGCTCTGCTTCTATCTAGGGACCAGGTGGCTAGAGATCCAACCCAGAGGGTTCATGTGAGCAGATAAAGGGGAGACCTGAGACAGAGCCAGAGGGGTGGGAGGTAGGCATCTTCTGGGACAAAACAGCCCAAAGCCACACCCCTCAGCCATACTGATATGTCCCCCACTCCTTGCCCAGACAATGGGGAGCAGTGGCCTGCGAGGCCATCGGAAGGACATGTACCTTGCTGAGTGACTTCACCTGCAGTAGTGGCTACTACTGGGCACGATCCACTTCTCAGGCCCATACCCACACAAGACACAAGACAGGAAGGACACTCTCCGTGAGTCCAGGCTTGGCCAGACCCCAGTGGGAAGGGTAGAGAGTGTCCCCTTTGGAGGGCGCTGCTCCTGCCCAGCTTTCTGGTCACAGCTCAGCACACTGTGAAGGTTAAAAGGAGACAGGGAGAACTCGAGCGAGCAGGCGAGGGACCAGCCGAGCACAGACAGGCTCCTGGGGAATGTGCATCCATTTAAGGAAGGCAGCTCATCCCGCAGCAGCAGGTCTATATACAGTAACGAGTCCCTTCCTTCCGGCTCTCAGGGGAGTGTTGCCCTCCACAGACACCAGCGCAAGGAAGGAGCCCCTCCAGTTCTGGGTGAGCGACTCTGACAGGTCCCCGGGAGCCCTCATCCCTCAGGGCCCTACTCCGGTGGTCACCTGGTGGAGCTGTAGCTGAGACCCACCTCGGAGGAGGAGCAGGTGCTAGCAGATGAGGCCAGAGTCAGGAGTTAAATATGGCAACTCATATTTATTACAATTATGTACAGTCATATCTTATATTCTGAAATCTATACATGATCACATAAATGAACATGTGTTTCTCGGTGGGAAGGACAGACGTGGCTGTTGGTCAGGAAGGCCCTGCTGCCTGGCTCCACTGTAGAGGGAGAAGTACGCCTGACCCTCGAGTAGCCAGACCACGACACAGCAAGCGAGGATGGTCTTGTGTGGCTACAGGACAACACGGTGGGTGGGCTGGGGACAGTGCCCAAGGGCAGCGTGTGTCAGCCAGGACCTGGCTGTGGGGAGGCTGGGTCCCGGCAGGCCCACAAAATGAGGAGCAGGTCCAGGGCTCCGGCTTTTGGAACAGGCAAAGAAGAAGCCACAGGCCAGGCCAGGGCACAGTGGGAGAGAGCAAGACCAAGGGGGCCATAGTCCCCCTGCACTGAGGTGACAGGGGGCACGAGATGACATGAGCTCTGGCCATGCATGGTGTCAGGTAGTCAAGATACTCAAGGGCACACCCGGACAAGACACCTGTCCAGGAGGGGCTCGGCAGGGGCTTGAGCACAGGGCTCCCGAGTCCTCCGCCTGGCTGTGAACAGCCAGGGTCACCAGGGCTGGGGCTGGGGAGGGGTCTGGGAGGCTGGTGAACAGAAACGCAACCCCACACTGCTGCATCCGGGAACAGCCCCACCCCTACCCGGGTTGCTGGCCCCCTCGTGGGGGCAGAACCCACGCGTGCCCACCTGCCGCTGATGTCCCGGAAAGGTGGGCACGCCAGGTGCCAGCCCTAGTCCCGCTCACTCTCATTGCTGGCGCCTTCCGGCCGCCGCAGCTTCTCGACCTGCTCATTGATCTGCCCGTCCCCGCCCCGCCGGTCCTCCCTCTGTACCCCAAGGACGTCCTCCTCATCCTCTTCGTCCTCCTTGTCCTCCCTCTTCTCCTCCTCACCCTGCACCTCCATCCTCACCTGACCCTTGACATCTACCACCCCCTCACCCTCTTCCTGGGGGCCCAGCAGGTGGTAGGTGGCTGTGGAGCCCTCGGGGCTGTGGCTCTCCTTCCCAGGAGAGGAGGACGTGGATTCGTTGCTGACAGGGGAGATGTCGCTGCTGCTGTGGTGGTTCACGGCCGCGGGGCTGGAGGGTGATGGAGACTTCACTGGGATCTGCCAGGAGGGGATCTTCGGGGCTGATGGGGAGGGAGGGAACTGCCTCCTGGCAGTGGAAGAAGAAAAAGAGAAGTAGGTAGAGGTTGGTGACAGCATCTGCCTCCAGTGTCACGCACTCCCTGACCCCTGACCCCTAACGGCTCAGGGGTAGGAGCAGCTTCTCCGGGGCCACAAGGCCGGGGACTGGAGGTCTCATTAGTCAAGCTGGACACCGGAAGTGCCCTGTGCTGCCCCATTCCGCCCTGATGCAGCCTCACCCCGTCCCAGGTCAGGACCAACCTGCCTTGGCAGCTGCTGCTCTGCCAGCTGGGGGCCAGCACACTCTGGGGACCCAGCACACTCTGGGGCCAGCACACTCTGGGGACCCAGCACACTCTGGGGCCTGCCCCACCCCAGTCAACACTGTCCCCGCCCCACTCCTGTGGCTACACAGGGAGAAGACAGGAGGCCAAAGGGGCCCAGGCTGGGAACCCCAGAGCCCTGGCTAGTGCGTCCATCACTTCAGCCCCAGGCAGCAGTGGGGAATCCTGGCTACTGTTCCAGGGGAGCAGAGGCAGTGAAGAGCAAAAGGTGATGTTGGAACCCTTTGCTGGAAACCTATGAGCCCAAGCTTTGACCAAGGAAAAGCCAGCCCAGACGGATGCCCATTCCAGGACAGACCTGAGAAGTTAGGTCAGCATGGTCATGGTTCAGAAAGAGGACAGGCCCTGCTCCTGTCCAGGACTGCGCCACCTCCCAGCACCAGTCACAGACTCAGCCTTCGACCCCAGAGCCCACGTGGTGGTACAAGTACCAGACCCTGCACCACCCATCAGCTACACAAATGCACCACCAAACTGTTGGTCCTTTTCTGGGCTTCAGTGTCACCCATGGCCCGCATGTGTCCCCTGGCCACAGAGTCAACTATCTTCTAGGAAAGCCAAAGACTTCTAAGAACAATCTGCCTGCCCTCCCTGGATTGCCCACATCTGTTATAGAGACCCGTGTCTGTCTGTCCATCTGAAAATCGTGATGTGGGAGGCTTTAGGAAGCATGCTCTGCTAGCCTGGGGTTATCACAGCACCCCTTACCCATCCTTGCCACCCCCATAAGGCCCACCTTGGGTGTCATGGTCTTGCCCCTGGCCAAGCAGACACACACATGTCCAGACACAGCCTGCCAGGCAGGGCACACTCAGGCCGACTGACTGCTCATTCCAGCTTCCTGGACACTACACTTCCAGCTTTTTTGGCCTGGTCACTCCCCAGTCAGGGCTACACTGAGAACAATGTGCTGCTCCTACAGGGGCACCAGGAAGCTTCACAGGGACAGGGTTAATTCTGTTGAGGCAAGCTCTCACACCCTGTAGCCCTCAGTGGGATGCTGTCTGAGACAAGGCTGCCCAGAGAGGTGCCATGCTCAGGAAGGAGCGGCCACCTCCAGGGGTCCCGTGTCAGTAAGTGCCGTGTGCCTGAGAGTTCTCTGCTTGCAGCCCCTGCTCTCTGCCAACGCCGTTTTTAAGGCGACTCTTAGGGACACTGTCCCCCTGGTGTGGGCCCCTAAGGAGGAGAGGCAGGAGTGGCTGAGGTCAGGTTCGAGATCTTGAAGCCCCAGCTCAGTGAGGGTCCTGTCCCACCTGTGACGCTGCTGTTGAACAAGGTTGAGATGAACAAGCCCACAAGCCACACTCCCTCCCCCCAGGTTGACCCTGGACAAGACAGAGCCCCGAGCCCCCTCTCCTACCGATTCAAAAGAAGCCCTTTCAAGGAGTTGATTTCCGACTTGAGCTCATTGATATTCTGGGACTCCAGGATGCAGTTGGTTGACGTTGTGGCCTGAAAGTCAGAGCACAGGTAACATGGGTCACAGTGGTGCCTGCACAGCCTGGGCCAGGGCTGGGCAGACTCAGGAGGGTCGGGGGGGGGGGGCAGCAGCTGCAAGCCATTCTGTGTCCTACTCGGCCACTGTCACACCAAGCAGTGACAACACCCTCCAAAGAATAATCCCCAAACCCTGTCCAGGTATACAACGATGCTAAGAAGTCACTGTATGTTTGTAGGTGGCCTCACAGTGTCCTGTGTAAATAACAAACAAGCCCTACCTCTCCCACAGACACTGACATGGTCCTAGGTGTAGCCATGAGGATCTTCCACTTTGGTTGACTATTGGATACTTCCATAACCACCACCAATAAACACAAGCTATCTCAACATAATGCCTCCCTGAAATTAGCATTAACCAGTCAGCACTAACTAGTCAGGGGAAGCCGCGGACAGAGCGAGGCTGGAGAGAGGCCTGAGTGCCTGTGCTGTCTGTCCATAGCTCTGCCTTTAAGCAGGCCAAGATGGCGGCCTCACCCTAATGCAGCCTGTTCCTAGCTGAGACTTCAGATCTCCAGAGGTTTCCAAGGGTCAAGGAGGATGTCCCATCCCACTCAATCTTATTCATTCTTTGTGACAAATCAAGTCTGAGTGGACTGAAGAACTCAACCTTGTCCCCAAAGGGTACCTTCCTACCACAGAACCTTGAAGAATCACACCTTACTGTGTCAAGAGGAAAGGCTGGGCAGCTGTCCACAGGTTGGGGCTGTGGGTGGCCATGTGGTCTGAATGCCAGTGTATTCAGGCCTGAGAGGCAGGAGGCTCTCAATTCTCTCCCCAGGCTGCCGAGGGGACACCCCTGGATCTCCCTTGTGGGCCATGGTTCCTGACATAAGGTGGGGCACTGTAGACTTGCCTAGACAGCATGCTGGGCATACCCTTTCGGGAAGAAACCTCAGCTGCCAGTCTCAGGAAGAGAGGCTGGGGCAGTCTGGAGGGAGCAGGGAGCGGTCAACGTCCTCACGTCCATCCCCAGAGGGTCCCTACCCCAGACCACCAGACGGGAAGGCCCGGGAGCCACTGTTCTGGCTTCCCCGAGACCTTGAAAGCTACAGCAGCCCATTAACAAGGGAGCAATTTCCACTCACTGGCCACAAAGGACTCGGATTTCCAAACGCACATGGTGCCAGATGCCAGGATTTAGAAATAAAAGCTGACATCTGGGGCTTTTTAGCCAGTCTCTTTAAAAACAGTTGTAGCAAACTCACAGGCTTCAGTTTTATGTAGGTTTTTAATTACTTAAAGCTCCTCTTTTCATTTTTTACAGTGCTCCAGTAGGAGTTTGGAAGGCAGATATAAAAACTTACATTACAGCTGAGAAAACATAGCTTGAATCTTTGGTTTATGGGGTAAGAGGAGTCCTCACACATCATAGGCCTGGGTGCCAGGCCAGAGCCCGCTTCAGCAGGGAGAGCAGGGAAAGGTTCTGTGGGCAGAAGCTGTGACAACTGTGACCCCTGTAGACCACAGCAGCCCCCCAACAGCCAGCCTCCCCTCCTTAAAGGGCAACATGTGGTCTTCATCTCATGCTTAGGGCCTGAAAACAGTTTTCCAATTTCCGGAATGGCTGCTGGCCACTGGCAGGCCACAGATCTGAATGATAACAGTCAAGTTGGGGGCCACGCTGCCTTCCTGCCTGTTGTACAGCGGCCTGGAGGGGACACAGCCCAGCAGTGGTAGCACCAGCCACCTGAGCAGGAAGTGAGACAGCCTATGTGTAAAATGGAATGGACACTGGGAGAGAGCTTTTGGGGACCTTCCTCACAACAAGGACTCCGGCCTCCACCACAAGTGCAAAGATGTTCAGTTTCCTGGATCTGCAGTCCAGCTGTGCAGAGTCTGGTCAACACTCCTGGGAGCAGCTCAGGTGGGCCCGACCCTTCAGAGGACCCCAGGGACCACAGATGCTGCCTCTCAGACCCCTGCTACCTAAGATGGTACTGTCACACCCAAGGCTGGGGAGGTGAATCCTGGGCTCGGGCTGGTACCAGGCACCACTCTTAAGCACATAAGCAGTGCAACAAAGTAGATTGGACTGTCACAGCTCCATTTACAGACAAAGACTCAGACTGTGTAAGTAACTTCCTGTGGCCTAACAGTTAGCAAATGGAAGAGCAAGGATTTTATCCCAGCTAGACTGATCTTTCAGCCTGCTGCTGAGCAGACTGTTTCAGATCTAGGCAGCAAGGCATAGAAAGCACTTTAGTCAACCCTAGGTGACTCTAATTCCTTTCAGATCATCTGACCCCATGATTTCTGGGTCTAGAGACTGCCCATTGCAAGGTGAGCCCAGAACGTTAGGTAGAGTGGGAACGAGTCAACTACCCATGGTGCACTTCTCTGTGGCCTCAACTCTTCCTCGGCCAGGCTGTGACCTACACCCTGCCTGCAGGGGCATGCCTGCCATCAAAAGTCCAGCAGCAGAAGGTGGCTTTCCACCCCCGCTGTCAGGAGGTGGCATAGAAACAGGAACATCGGCCCTGATGGCTACAGACTGCACCAATGCAGTGCATGCAGTGGTGCCCGCGTCTCTAATGAGATGGATGGCGTCGGCCTCGGAGGTGTCACCCCATGACAGAAGACGGCAAGTGGTGGACAGCAGGCCCACAGAAGACAGTGCACAGGCGGAGGATCAGGGCTTAGAGCTAAATGGAACAGACCTTGGCCTGGGGACCCAAGGGCCCACAGATAAGTACCTTGGCCGCGGCCAGCTCATGGGCCAGCTCTTGGACCTTCTGCTGCTGCTGTCTCAGTAGCTCTTGGACAGAGGCCAGCGTTGTCTGTACCTGAGTCACTAGGGAAGAAAGTGTTATGTCTGGTAAGTCAGTGCCCAAGGTCCCTCCTCGCCCACATACCTGCAAGCTGCCCGCCTCCCTGCCACGTGTAATTTATCTGTAAGCCCCTGCCCCCACACCCAGATAATTTATCTGTGCCTGGGGTGATCCACCCGCACTATGTGTAACCTCTGGGGTTTCTACTTCATCTTTCCATTGTGTGCTTGTCCGTGGTCAACAGTGTATCCGTCCAAAACCTCTCCCCTCTAATTACGCCTGGCTGTGATGTGCCTGGCTCTCTAGCTCCCACCATGCTCCAATCATTCATCTCACTGGCCTCACAGTGTCCTTAGGCGCTCTAGGACCGCTTCAGTCCCAGGAGGGCTGAGGCTCAGGTCTCCGCCAAATCCAGGAATTCGAAAGTACAAGCCCCATCTGTGGTGGGTTTCCCACTCGGTCCTGCCCCACTGAGGATCTGCCAAGGCCCCACTACCTGTTGAGACCTGTGACTACTATGGCCCTGCCTCCTAGGAGCAATGGCCCATGGGACAGATGAGTTAGGGGATTCCAGACAGCTTTGCACAGGTGCCAGTGAGGGACAGAGATTCCTGCCTGGGACAGGTGGCTCTCTCCCCTGCCCAAGGTTTAGATTCGCAGCTTCCACTTCGTAAACAAGTTCATAAAGGGAAGAAGCACCTCTGCCCCAACAGGTCCCAGCTAATCTGGGCCATCACTGGGGCAGCAGGTACTGAGAGCCGTCCGTGTGGAGTCGATAACAGAGGAGGTGGCAGAGGTCCCGAGAGCCACAGTAATTACAGACTCTCTTGACCCTGCATTGGATTCTTCGAGGGAAGGGGGAAAATCACTGAAAACCCCCCTGAAAACCTCATAGAAGCAGAAATTAAAAATGAACTTTACAGCCCTTAGAAAGGCTGTCATTTTATTCCCCTTATTAATATTCTGAGGTTGGGAGCCTTTCCGTAAAAACATAATTAATTGAGGCCGCGCCGACAGTAAACAAGCAATTTCAAATTAAACCGAGATGACGGCGGCTTCATTTGCAAATGTGAACAGATTCTCAGAGCAGATAAATGAAGTCACCACAGAGTGGAGACGGAGGGAGAGGGAGGGGCCGAAAGGGGCTGCGTGAGGGGCTTGGAGGGGTGACTTGATGGAGTCATTAATCTTTACCTGTCTGGGCCACGCTGCCACTCAGTTCGGAGAGACTCGCCGCCATCCTCTCCAGCTGCTTCCTGTCCTCTTGGCCTCCCAGGATGAGGGGCAGCAGGTACTTCTGCAAGAAGGGGCCAGGTGAGGAGGTGGCACTCAGGTCTCTCAAAGCCCACCGCCCAACTTGCCCTGATCTTCTGCGGGTCACTCCAGTCCCAACACACTCCACACTAGAAAAAGGGTGCTTGAAAAAGTTACCAGGATGCAGTTACGGCCTTGTAAGAACTTCTACAGGAAAAAAGGATAAAGACCAAGAGAAGGTGAGGAGGAGTTAGGGGGTGGCTAGCACGGACCAGGCCAGGTCTCTGAGTTGTCCCCAAGCTCGGGAAGGTCTCTCTGTGAGGGAGACCTTGCCTCTTCCATTCACTTTTCTAAAGATATATATTTCTACGACGCTTTTCAATTCTACTTGAAAAGTTCTAAGGAGAGTCTGCAGAGGATATACCAGTCACTGCCCCGCATGGTGGCTTCTGGGGAGGAGAGGGAAGCAAGCGGCTTTCACTGTCCCCTCTCTGAATCTAACACTCGAACTCTGTGAATGAGGCAAACTGCCCCACCCACCCAGAAGCAGTATTAGATCTGCAAAAACACAACACGGCTGGAGAAACGAGAGGAAAACCAACAGACTTCTGGGATGGCTGATCTTCCGTGGTGGGGATAAGGCACGCACGTTGGAAGCCTACTAAAGAGGGCACCTTGGACTCTTCTAAACATCAGAAGGGGCTTTCTTGTGAAGAAAGCCAAAACAGCCTAGGTCCTCCCAGAACTGAAAACAGGGCAGAGGAGAAACAGCCCCAGGGACCGAGAAAGCCAAGGCTGCTGACTGCAGGGCCACCAGACAAGAGCACCAAGGACCAGCCCCTCCCCAGGGGCACAGCTGGGGATCTGTAGGGCTTGGAACAAGGATGCACAGGGGTTGGAGGGATCAGGTGTTAGGAGAACAGAGAGAGCGCCTGTGCCTTGCCACCAAGCACTCTGGGACCTGGAGACCTCCTCACTCCCCAGTCTAAGGTCCACCAACCTGCAGGGCAGTGCTGCAGCTGAGCACACGAGCCTGGCAGGCGCTACCCAGAGAGACCTTGGGTTTTCAGTCTATTTGGGTTCCAGACAGGAAAAAAAGAGGGACCGTTCTCCATTATGGGTTCTATACTAGTGAAGAAAAGCAGGTCTCACAGGGGTTTGTGGGAGAACTCATTTCAGGAGAGACTCAGAGTGAAGCTCGTCATTTAGCATATGCACAGAAGCCGTTTCTATTTTGCAAAGTGCTTTGCAGCCACAGTGTGAGTTATTGCCCACAGCCGAGCGGAACTCATCAACTGCAGCCTGACGTTTTCTAAGTATAAAAGTCAAGAAATTCTCAGCTGCATAACCAACTACCCCCCGTTCCTGAGGCCAGAGCCCAGGAGTGGGGAGTGCTGCCACCACTGTGGCTAAATCTCTGTGCCTGTACAAAGCAAGATACCCCCCTCCCGTCACTTTTTTAAAACTTAAAGAATACTACCAGCAGATGTGGAAGACATTTTTGTGTCCCCATTGTGACCAACATTTCAATGTTTCCTTTCTTTTTAAAGCAGACTGGTGGCCAGAGCTCCACGGAAACAGATGACAATCTCTGTGTCACATCTGAACCAAGGTGCCACACCTCCAGTTCTCTTGGAGGGTGGGGGGCAGGCGATGGGACAATCACGTGCTCTTCACAGGATCTTGGTACTTGCGAACTCTGTGTTGGTGCCTGTCTGCAGCCAGTGACCTGAGAGAGCCTGCCCCATCCAAGGCACTGCACCAGCTGAGAGGGGAAGTCCCAAGCCTGCCCCCAACACTTGGCATCTGAATTTCTGCACAGGAATTTCTTATTCTGGCAACAGACACTGCACTGAAAAGTTCTATTCCACCACAACTCTGTCATTAGCTACTGTACGAGGTCAGAAACTTAGACTCCAAGAATGCACGGTTTAAACACACTTTATGTGCTGAAAGTCACACTGCAAGCCCGGGGATTCAGTAGGGTCCCTAAAACAAAGTCACCAAACCAGGCTGGGTTAATGGGGGACCTCAGAAGAGACCACGGCTTCTCTCCGGGGTAAGCAGGCCTGGCTGTGGGGCCATCCTGGCTGTGCATCTTGTAGACTATTTTCTCCAGATCAAGGCTCAGCCTTTCCACTGCCATCATGAGAGAAAATGTTTGTTCAATACCTTCAGCTCTGCTATGAGCATCGCCTCTGCTTGTGAGGGCTGACTCACAAGCCCAGGGAAAATCCCACGTTTATACAGATGCTACCACAATCCACAGAAAACAAGAAGTGGGCTCCCTGAGCTAGTTGTAAATACCAGGGTGGAACAAGGGCATCTAAGGGGCTTCCCGAGAGCCGGGGGGGGGGGGGGGGGGGGGGGGGAGCCAGCAGCACTCCAGCACTGTCCTAAGCATGGACTCCTGCCTTCACTGCAACCCCGAGACATCTACAGATGCTGTGAGCCGTCACTCCCAGAAGATTCATGGATACACCTGACCTACTGAGCAACACAGTGCTCCCATCCACCTTCAGTGTGCTCAGAACACTTGCTGGAGCAGCTGGGCAAAACTGCCCAAACTGAAGCCTCTCTCAGTGTTCCCTATCTCGGCTCCTTCACTGAGGATTGTACCCGAAGTGAGAATATCGACATGGGTAGGCATACTTTCACAGCACTGCAAAGTCAGACAGTCTGCTCTAGTCTGTCTTACAGACTCGGGGACAGAGTCAGGTTCAACACACACCGCTATGCTCCAGAGTCCAAGCTCGTTTCCTTTTTTCTATTTGGTTTTTCGAGACAGGGTTTCTCATATAGCTTTGGAGCCTGTCCTGGAACTCATTCTGTAGACCAGGCTGGCCTCGAACTCACAGATTAAAGGCGTGCGTCACCACCACCCAGCGAGTCCAAGCTCTTAGTAGGCTGTTCTGTCTCTCAAATTTACATACTTCTCACTGGTACTAGGCACTGCTCTAAATACCTGACTTGGCCTTTTGGGTCATGCTGCAGGTGGGGTGGGGGTGGGGCGGTCCAGGGCAGAAAGCTGAAGCCGCAGTGCCTATGTGCCTTCATGCTTCTCCTGCTCGGCTGCCTACTTCCACCACAGTCACTGTGCTCTAGGGCTGAGCATCCACTGAGTACAGTGCCTCTCTAAGTAAGCCGGGGGCCAGGAGAGGTGGCTGAATGCCACAACACTCTGCAGCCCCTGAGAGGCAACTTACCTTGTAGAGCTGGTGAAAGCCAAATGCAATTCCCGCCATGATGATGGCCAAGGCACCGTAATCTCGCCATCGGGAACCGCCGGGGCCTAGTGGTAGGAAAAAAAAAAAAGGAAGAAAGCTCGGACAAGTCTCCAGGATCCCTCCCTAGGAGTGGGAGTGTCTCAGTTGGCAGGCAAGTTGAGACACACAGCTGTCCAAAGTAGCATGTGACCCTCAGAAGGGTTGATCAGCTCTGCCTTCTCTTCTTCCCAGGCTCCCAGAACCATCTGCGTCACTTGAGATGGGAGTGACCTGACCATGAAATGCTGGGTAGAGGTATCCAGCTGTGAGCTGTGTCCAGCCTTGGGGGTCAGATGGCAGAAGTGATGTGAGGACTTTGGCCTGGCCTATGACGTCAGAGAACAAAGGATCCTTCTAGGGCTAGTGTGCGCACCACACAGAGGGATAAGCCAGAGCCACCAGTGATCTGGGCCTCTCTGTTCTGCTCACTCCTCAGGCTCTGAAGACACAAGTCTGCAAAAGACTAAGCAAGGTACCTTCTGAGGTGCTAAGGGGCAGGGCCAAGGCCTGTGTCCTGGAGGCCAGAGTGGGTGGGGTGAGGAAGACAGGTCAGCCCCCCCCCCCCAAGCACTAGCCCACAGCAGTGAAGGTTTTGGAAGAGGAAGTGCCACAATCAGAACTCTGTATTTTAGGAGAACACCGGGCTAGCTCTAGGGCCAGCTAGAAATGGGAGACACTTTTGCAAGGCCACAAAGGTGAAAACAGCCAGTCTAGATCAAAGGCCAAGGAAGTTTGAGAAGGAGAATTTGCCATTTTGTTGAGGAAGTGGACTGAGCATCCAGTCCTCACCTCAGGGCAGGCTCCTAACCAAGTTCACCAACCAGCTCAACCTTTATTGTGTTCTTCCTTTCTGCAACTGTGATCTGAAAAGAGTAAGTGGAAAATTCCAGAAAGAAATGACCCATAGGCTTTAAACTGTACACCATTCTAAGTAGCACGATGGAATCTGAGCCATCCTGCTCTGACCTCCCCAGGACTCCACTTAGCTGTCCAGTGTATCCACACTGTATATGCTACTTGCCTACCACACACTGATTACCATCTTGACTCTCAGACTCACTGTCTCAGCATCTCAGCAGAGTCTGCGTGAGCTTCCTTAACAATAGCCTCAAAGTATAAGGGCAGAGATGCTGATAATTTGAACCTGCCTAAGAAAAGCCTAAGCATTTCCCTTAAGAGAAAAAAAAAAAAAAGAAAGTTCTCAATAAGGAAAAACAAAAAACCAATGCTGGGCTATCAAGATCAATGATACAGCAGGATGGGAGCATGCCTTGTATCATAGCCTACTGCCATAGTTACATTCTATTATTGCTCCTCTCACGATGCCTAATCTGTAAGGTAAACTCTATCCAGTCTCAGGCTTCCACTGGGGTCTTGGGATGTGTCTTCTGGGGCGAAGTCCCCACAGTTCCAGGTAAAAATCTCCTTGCACATATGAGGTGGGTTCTCTACCATCCCAAGAAGGGTTCAGGAGGGGCCTGGGTATGTAACCAGGCCTGCCTTCTCCAGGCCCCTGGAACAGAGGTCAGTGGGCCTCCTCTCAGGGTCTCTGTCAAGAGGAAGGACAGAGACCACAGTGGGCACACTTGGCAGTCATGGATGAATCAAGGTACTGTGCCCAGCAGGCTGAGAGAAAAGCTGCCTTCCTCCAAAGGTGAGTGTGGGAGCAAGGGGGGTCAGGAGCACTGTGGGTCCCCTCAGAGGAGGGCTGTAACCAGCTTTGGTGCTTCAGAGAGCTCTCCTGCCTCTACCTCCCCTCTCTGCCCAAGCCTGCAAGTTCACTGAGATACCCGCCACCATCTGCTGTCTCGGGACCAAAGGAGAGGAGCGGGGCCTCATGCAGACTTAGTGATGGGCTCTGGGCATGTGACCCAGCCAGGAAAGCCAAGTACCCCACGACCTCCAAGAAGGTGAGGGCCACAGCCCTCCTATCTGGACAGTGCTCTCAAGAGGCAATAGGGGATTGAAAGAATGTCTCCTTTACTACAAGGGATTCCCCAACATGGCCCAGCTCGTCTTGGCCATAAAACTGCAATTAACATAATGGGCTTCTCCTAGCCTTCAACTCCCATTTCTGTTTTACATGTTCTGACAAGACTCGCAGTTTAAGAATCAAGCAGCAGCCGGGTGGTGCTGGCGCACACCTTTAGTCACAGCACTCGGGAGGCAGAGGCAGGCGGATCTCTGTGAGTTTGAGGCCAGCCTGGTCTCCAAAGCGAGTTCCAGGACAGGCATCAAAACTACACAGAGAAACCCTGTCTCGAAAAACCAAAAACAGAAAAAAGGAAAAAAAAAAAAAAAAAAAGAATCAAGCAGCAGAAGTCAGTGTACAGAAGTCAGTGTACAGAGGCATTCCCTGTCACCAACGCTGGCCATAGCTCTATGCTATTCTTGTAGAGAATGTTTATACATATGTAAATCACGAGGCGCATGTCTGAGTCCCCTCTTCCCTCCCATTTCTCAGCGTCTTTCCCACAGTAGGCTGGTACCCCATGGAACCTCCCTGCTGACACACAGATCCCTCTCTGATCTGTAACTGCACCACACACACTGTAGACCTGTGTCAGCTACCACACAGGCCATCAGAAAACCTGAGACTTCACAGGGACACGGGTCAGAAGGAATGTGTGGTCGTGACTCCCACCATAGGGCTCTGCAAACCCATCCACCAGCACCTGTTCCAGAGCATCCGTCAGATGTAGATTCTGCCAGTCTGGCAGCAGCAGAGGATGGTGCTTCGCTCTGTTTCTGATGGGCACCCATCTTATTTTGTCTGTGTTTCCTTTTGGCACAGTGTATGCTTTCCATCTTCCTACTTCATTTCTTCCCCTCCTCACTGTTGAGAGACTTTGTTACGTAGTGTGGATACTAGTCCTTTGTGACAAGAACCATAAATACTTCATTTCTTTCCTTTTGGTTCTGCTTATGGTCTTGAGTGGCATGCAAATGTGTGTGTGTGTGTGTGTGTGTGTGTGTGTGTGTGTGTGTGTTTACAGACATTTGTCAGTGTGCTCTGGGGTTTGTGTTAGGGTTAACAAGGATGTCCCCACTCTCTGTCTGGACTACGCTGTGATGTGCAGTGAGGTGTTCACATCTGAAAAGGCCACCCCATGAAGGCAAGGGCTGCGCTGCCTGTCGTGGACATCCCTGTGTGTTGTGAGTCCCGTCTAGTCCCACAGGAGGCTCTGCCAGCCCACAGTTGGCCCCTGGAATGCAGTCTCTGAGTCCTGCATGGGTCTTTCCATTGCTCCTTCTTTCTCTTCTAGTCAGCTTGGCTCTTCATGCCAGATGTAAAATCCAACCTCTAGTGAGGGAGAAGTCCATTTTTAGGAGAAAATGTGTTGAAAGAGTGATCTTGCCACTCTTTGAGAGGGTCCCTTGTTCCAGAGGGACATCTGTCCATGCAACCCAAATCCCCAGAGAATACCTCCCCATGGTGCTGCAATCAGCAAAGCACATTCACCATTAACTCTCAAACTGCCACTGGCCACTGAGGATCCTACAAGAAGGCAACTGTACTGGCTGGCAAGCCGAGCAGAGCTGCAGTCTGCCGAGTCAGCTGCTTCCCTACAGGCTCACCTCCCATGCTGGGACAAGCGCAACCTCTTTCTGCTGACATCGAGACCCTGAGGCCGAGCAGCCTCCAGAGCTTGCGATCTGGGAGCTCAGACCCTGCACAGCTGTCCACCATGCAGGAGCTCTGTCCTCCCCAGGCCCGAGAAACACCTGTAGTTCCCTGCCAGCTCACCCTTCACCCTCACTGCTGTGGCGTTCCTGCCAGGCTCGCGTTAAGAACATTTTATTGCCCCCTGGTTTTCATTATTAATGAAAAGGGACCAGAATGATCTTTCCTAAAGTTCAGAGAGTCTATAAAGACTAGAAGCTGAAATGCCATTTTACTCGTTTTAGAGATGTGTGATACAATTCTGTCTGTGGCAAAATGAAGAGAGGAAAACTCAGATGCAAAAGGCTCTTTTGCATAGCATGGATTCAAGGGTAAGAGACTCCACCAAAGCAGTGCACACTGCCTCCCACCTCCAGCCCTCAGCATCTGTCTCCTGCCCACTCTGCGTCCAGGAGACTCTTCTATCACTGCACGCCCCAGTGTCCGAGGGCAGAATACAAGGCCAGCAACTTGATGGCTCCAGGTGGGAAGGAAGATGGAAAAAGCTTTTTGAAAAATTACTGCATTTATTTACCTACTTATATGTGAATAAGGGCATGAATGCACACATGTGTGGAGGTCAGAGGACAACTTTCCTGAGTCTGTTCTCTCCTTCACTACATGGGTCTCAGGGATCAAACTCAGGTCATCAGGTTTAGTGGCAAGAGCCTGTACCCACTGAGCCAGCTTCTCGACCTGAGTAAGCTATACAACTGGGGCTGGAGACATGGCTTAGTGGTTATGAGTACTTGCTGTTCTTCCAGAGGACATGAGTTTTGTTCTCAGCATCCACACAGCAGCTTACAACTGTCTGTAACTCCAGTTCCAAGGGATCTGATGCCTCTGGCCTCCAAGGGCACTGCACTAATACACACACACACACACACACACACACACACACACACACACACAACACATAATAAAAAGTAATATAAATAAATCTTTTTTTAAAAAAAAAGCTGCACAACTACCAGATAGCATGGTCATACCTATAATCCCAGTATTTAGGAGGCTGAGGCAGGGGGATCACAAGTTGGAAGGTAGCCTGGGCTACATGACAAAAGTGAGAGTGAGAAGGCTAGAGAGAGCAAGATCAAGAGCATCCTGCTTCTCTCAGACCCTGACCATTGATGGCTCTTCCCCGAAGGCTCCATCACCCAAATGGTGGAAGGGAGAGCCCCACCATCACCACAGCCCTGGGGGCTCTGTAAAGGACATAGGACAGCAGGGACCATCCTAAACACAGGAGCATCTCTGGGACTGGGTCTCTAAGACACAGGAGGGACAAACCATTGTGAAATTTGACACCCCTGTCACCATCACACACTGCATTCTGAAGCGGCCTGGGCACTGATGCCTGGG